GAACTCAGAAAATCTTACTAAATTATTAGTCATTCTAGTAATATCATCTTTAAACGAAGGAAACACATAAATTTATAATTAAACATTTAAACGTCACTGTAAGAGCGTGAGCAGTGAGCATCGGACTCGRCGTATTTTTTATTAAATGAACTCACAAAACGCTCCAACAAGCGTTTATTATTATTTATATTAATGTATTATTATTTTTTCTCTTAATTATTTTAATCCAGTACCGAATTCTATTGTTTACCATTAAAACGTCGTGTGCGTGATAATGCTTAGAATAAAAAMACAACAGTTTTGCATCATGACACAACGGTTGACCGTCGGATTACGGATGTCGTTATATATACGCGATAAAATATCAAATAAATATGAAGTTATATATAAGTATTGTTATTATTATTAGACGTGCGTTTTTCAATGGGTAGAAATGTGGAAAAAGTTATTCTGAGCACGAACGGTCCACGAAAAAAACCCCTTCTCTTATGTATGTGACTTTCTGGCGATATAATAATAATAATATGTATATCAATAAAAAAAAAAAAACAAATAAATAACGTTCAACACGTGTCTTGAAACTTCACAGAGTCAACCAACTGTCCGCATAATATTACAAGCACCACTCGGGGTGTTATTGTTATTTTATTCTAAACACTCAACGACTACTTTTCTCCTTTCTGTTCTCTACACCCATCATCGTGACCGATATAAGGTTCGATGACGGTGAAGAACACACTATTGCTATAAGACCGTAAACATCCGAATAGTCCAACAGTACAAGGCGCCGTCAACCCAGAATATTACCACTCTCACAATTATGTCTTGTAATTATGAAAAATTTATTTATCGAATTTCAATACTAAACTACATAATATGAATGATTCCAAACTACCGTAGACCAAATATCGTCATAAAAATGTTTGCATAAGTATATATCTTTTAATTTCAATTTTCTTTTTTTCTTTTATATATAATATATGACTATAAGAGAACTGAGTATACTCATTCGCTGTTTGAGTCATTCTTTTGATTCATTACATTCACATTAAATTATAAACATTATATTTTTTACCCGATAAATATTTGTGAACTGTTAATTATATTTTTAAAGGTGTGACTCCTAAGAATTAGAAACAAGATTTAATTAAAAAGTGAGAGAAATAACCGATGAAATAAATATATTTATGGTTATTTGATAATTATTTTTATCTTTTAGGTAATAATATTAATAATAATAATAATAATTACGTAGTAATTTATTTTCTATTTAGAATTTTATTGCAAGTCTGTATGAATATTTAATTATACAAAAAATCTCTAGGGAAATAAATGTGGATGAGAAAATAAGATAAATGAGGAGGTTTTATATAACGAATTGGACAGTTTATGACCCATAATTCCCAAACGTCCAACAACCGCTGATATTAAATTAAAAAGTGATATTTTACTAGATTAAATGTCTTATCATAATTATTACAGCTATAATAGTAGCTTGCAGATCTATACGACTTGTATGAGTAATAATCAAAATATAAATAATGTGATCAAAAATCTGTGATATGAAGAAAAATAAATTTTATAATAATGGAATTTATAGATATTATATACATTGATTAAAATATACCATAGTTCTACTAAATTTTATTCTGTTTTCTATGAAATTACTTAAAAATGATTAGTTCCACAATTCTAAAAATCAAATTTTTTAACACAGCGTTAAATAGGAAAACATAAAGATATTAATTTTGTTTTTGTAATATTATAGTTATCATTGACTTGGGGCATGGAAGATCTATATTATTAACTAATACCTACATAAGGGTTTAAAATCACAACTATACCAAATATGGAAAAATGTGTTTATTATTTCCATGAAAATAAATTCAAAACCATAATGTGTACATCCAAAGTGCATATAAAAATATTATAATTTAACGTTGGTTGTACTCTATATATCACATGTTATTATGTTATAAAAGCACGTATTACCATAAAAATAAAGCTCCAAAAACTATTCTTTTTTCGTAATAATCAACCACAACAAGTAAATATAATTTCTTAGCTAGATATTCCTAAATTGTGTACATAATATACGCAATATAAATATTTCGGTATTTCTATAATTCTATATAAATATAAAATATACATATTATATAATATAAATATACTTTATATATATATAATATGTATGTATGTATAGATATCTTTTTAAGGATGTGGAAAATAAACAAATTAGATTTCGTTTAGTAATCCCTAAGTTTTATGCTTGAAAGTGAAGCATGGAATAATAATAATTGTTTACTTAACATTTATTTATCAATTTTATGTGGATAGTACCTATTAACTAATAACTTATTAGCAACAAAATTGTTTTTTTTTCAACTTACTTTGTGTTCTCCTATGTTTTTCACCGAACACACCAAAATTGCTTCCCGACCCAATGCGACGGTGACATTTTCCATGGGATTCAAAAACTCTGGCTCCGGTCCATCCTTTTGTACATCTATAACAAAATGACAACGAAAACATATTACTTGATTAAAATAAAAAAATCGTTTGGTATACTATTAAATATTTTTTATATATGTCCTTGTGTTGTACTTATTTCGTAACTATAACATCCTACTCATTTTTTTAACATCTATATCTAATTATATATATATATATATATTACATGGTACTTGGATATATTTTTTTAATATAGAATTACAAAACCATGGTCGTTGTATATAAAACATGACCAATGTATACCCATCATAATAATAACTATACTAAGTGGTAGTCACATGTTAAGAGGATGCCACAACCGCATGTGTTTTACGCTCAGCAGTTCACATTTGGCTCCATTAGTTTAAAATTTAGAATGAATTGACCTCTTATAAACCTATATAGACCTAACCTAACTATATATACCTCTTATATGACATCATTATCTAGGTTATCATTTGGACTTTTTATTATATTTTAATTTTAATACGAGTTATGAGTGTTTTAAGATATACAAACAATTTACAATTTTTAAAAATAATTAGTATTTTATATAATCACACTAACGGTCTACTTTTTCCGTACGTCAAAATTATCACATAGCATAGCCTTTGGGTATGGCCTTTCTGTCGATTACTTAATATTTTAATCTGTGATGATACTCTATGGCCTATACACTTACCATACATTTATAATAATATGATATTATTATATTATTAATATCTAAATGCAGTCCAATAACGGATTCGCCAACGACGGCGTATTACTACAATGTCTACAACTGTATCAATAGATAGACCCAATATCGATATTATGTTTTAATTCGCTGCAATGTGGTTTCGGTGATGAGATTTTCGTTACAAGAAGGTGATATTTGGTTTTATATTATTCGAACAAGATGATGACGGAGAACGGTTTTACGTTCGTGTGGACTAAGTTAAACAGCGACCACGCTCGCATACCGTGTTTAGTGTTTCAATGATGTACCTACATTTTAAATTTCTGAAAGTATATTTTCACTATATTCAGGGTAGGTATGGGAAATTATTTTTTGCAAAACAAGTTAGATACGAACTTAAACATTATGCGAAAGTGAAACGTGACTGAAAACCCAGCACGAAAACTGTTTGATTCTACCACTTCACCGTCAACGCGCGCCACCTTCTGCAGACCATTCAAATACGCGTCGTTCTCTTGAATTCACATTTATTCGGAAGCTTTCCTAAAACTAATGGCTTTAATTAACGACGACGAGCCTGAACATAAGGTACATCCATGATATTAACCGTCGTTTACTACAGTGAAACGACAATTATGGATGTGTTGTCGGAAATCTGAAATAACTACATTATAATATTATGTGATGGTTTTTTTTAATYAGCCTTGTGCCGAATGTTTATCACGAAATAATTATTTTAAACTACATAATTAAGTGTGTGCAGTGGACGTTTAAATATTGATGTAAAAAATACTGAGTGTGGTTGATAATATCATTTTTTTTGCATGCAAAAGCAACGGTCTTGTGATGTGATTAAATCGTACTTAATGGTTGTTGATAAGTCTCTTACACAATAATACGGTTTAAATTATGTACGCTCGTCGTGCATATTTTTATGTGCGATAGAAATGGAGTTTAATTTTAATGTAATATAATATTATAATATATTCTAATGAATATTCTTACTGTTTASCAACGAATTTATTTATTAAACTAATAATGGCTAACAACTATTATATAGTAATATATACTAGTGCTGGACTGTAAAACTAGATGATGTAAAAATGTACAAGAGGTGATCGAGTTTTATTAAAAATAGATTATAAAATAAATCCAAGTGTGTCCATAATATAATATAATAAAATGCTCTAAATAGCAAAACATTGTATAAGAACATTCCATTTCAATAATCAAATATATACACGCAAATTTGAATACATCTAAGTAGGATATTATATAGGCACTACTTCAGTGACGGTTCGTGGGTTTTTAATGAAAAAGTGCTCATTCATAAAAATATAAACAATATTATGTATAGTTTATATTAAATATTGTATTAAATAATTGTTAACAAATGTTAGTTGCTTATCATGAGCTGCCACTAATATACTAATGGTTAATACACAGTGTTTTCAGTCTTAGTGGACACTACGTCATGTCCACATATTATTTATCAATACTAATATATTTATAAATTATGTGCATTTGGGTGTGATTATAATTTAAACATCAAGAATATGATACGCTTGACAACCCACATATTAAATGAAAAAAAGCGGGAAAGTGATTATCACTCTGATGTACAGTAGGTTACAAGAGGGTTACTGTAATGGATGGAATTAAATTTGAATCCGACGATATTATATCATTGTATACGAAAAATGATTCTGAACGGGGAAGGTTTATCTGTCTAGGATTTATTATAGATTATTAAAAATTTTCAAATCTTAGATTTAAAAGGACAATTTTTTATGAATTTCTAGCTTAAAAAATTTGCAAAATTTTGTGATTTCTAAGTATTTTGTTAATACTTTGAATGCTTATAAAAAAAAATTGCGACTATGAATTGATTTTATTTTTCAATTGCTATTGTAACAGTATGTTAGGAGAGTTTTATTAAATTTTCAAACTATTATACCCAACAAATACATTTTTATCGATATTAATTTAAAAAAAAACTAATAATGGTCAAAAATGTCATATGCCTATAAATAGTTCAACTTAAGTCAAAATTGTTTGAAAATTACATGGTGGATAGAATTTAATTACACAATCATTCGGTGAAAATTGCTTGTATCTATTATAGTCATTTGTTTTAAAGTTACATCAAAAACCAAAATCGATTTTGTCGAAAACTGATTGTGCGTAAAATTTTCCGTTTTTCCCTTAATATTTA